TGCCGAATTTATATTAATTAACAGATTATGTATAACTGAAATACAGTAATTACATCCACAACTCAAAATAATAAACCGACCAAAAGATAAGTGAAATATGTCGACGTCCCCGTCAAGATAACAATTTCATTATATAGGCGACACATGCGAACCATTGGGTTGCAGAAAGAAATATTATTAGTGCAAACCTGCAGAGCAAAAATTGCCTGACGACACGAGCCCTGAACCTCGTTTTGAAATTCAGAAGTGCAAGAAGGGCTAAGGAATCTGTGTTGTAACTTTCATTAGCATCTGTCATCGGTATTAGAAAGCATTCCAAGTCTGGTCCAAGCTACGTCTGCAATAATTATCACTGACCATAACAACCCATTGCCTATTGTTTATATACAAGGAATGGCTACCAGTGGCGACATTAATAGTTTGATAACGATGACGAGTAGACACACAAACAACGGACAAAGACACTACTACCTACAAATATATAAATAAATTATAAAACTTGGCAAGACTAAAGTTGCGGAAACATACAAGAAGCAGATCCTATACCCCTTTGGAGCCACGGAATCCTAAAAATGATGACGACTGGAAACTTCCTAAAAAATCTAAATAAAGAAGTAAATAAAAACCGTTTAACTAAAACAAATTAAAAATTAAATGGTTTAACTTATTATACTAACAGCAAAAGTAATAATACTCTGACATTTCGATGGCACTTAATTAAACAGAAAGCCGTTCAAAGATTAATAAAAATCCCCGATAAAAGCTTATATTAACGCATTTTTTCCAGTTATCGTCGATCCGCGCAGTTCGAATGTGCACCGGAGCAAAAATTGTATTCCGCTGAATTTTACAAATACCCATTTTAATTGAACAATCGCTAGGAAGTGCCATAGAATACAATTAGACGTGCAGATACGACACATTATACCTAACAAGATTATTTTTTAAATTATGTCTGAAAAACGAAGAGATTTTTAATGCATTTACAAATTTAATTAAAAAAATCTCCTCATAATAAATTTTGTAAATATCAAAACATATACAAATAACAAAACCATAGATGATTAAACGGTAAATATAAGACTGAATACAACAGACAAATTAATAAATTTCTATGAATGTGGTGAAGTTAAAATAATTAACTGTCGTAGTTAATTACATTTTTTTTATAAATATTAAAGTTACATTAATATTTCAGCAGGTCTTATATTAATTGTATATTTGATTAAGCATATTTTCCAAGATTGCATTGCGAATGCGAAATTGATCAAATATATTAATGTATTGTTTTTCATTTTCCCATTGAAAATAAGACGATAAAGGATATTAGTTTAAATTGTTCCTTATTTTAAAATGAACATTTATTTATCTATATTTGTTATTTGTATCGTTCATTAACTTTTTAAGTAACACAACTTAAATATTTACAGAGTGTTTATGATATCTATTGTTGCTAATCTATGGAAAGTGGTTAGAGATTCTTCGAACGGTTCAGTTATAAGGGGAGGTTTTAATTAATAGAAGCCAAATATTGACAAGTGTCGGCGATTTAAGGTGAAGCTTTTAGATATCTAATATTAGTTCAAAATTTGAAATATACTGCATGGACGATATTTAAATAATACATGAAGTACTAGAATGATAAAATATATGATGTACACCATAAATATTAATATGCGACGTTCTTGGGCGTAAACTAAACCAAATTTTTGATAAGCTTTGTATGTAACTCCGATAATTTATGATCAAATAAATATTATTATTATTATTATTAATTTAATTTAAAACCTGTCAAGCTATATTCTCAATTCAAAACACCCAATATGACAGGAGTAAACTAATAAAGTTGTACTTTAAAGAAGTATATATTTACTAACGGTTTTCCCACGACCGCGTAAATTATAGCGTAATTTTATTATAATACAATTAATATAAATCCGCGTATCGTAAAGTTTCTCGTAGCTGAGAGAATTTTCGTGATCAGATCGGTATTTCCGAAGATTACTCCTTACAAACAAGTATAGATTCATCATCATCATCACTTTAAGAAGACATTAAACTGCTGGGGCTCAGGCCTTGCCTATGGATGGAATCGAATCTAATAGAGAGAATGGGTTATAATGCAGTCGGGACCGACGACGTGACGTGCCTTCCGAAGGACGGAGGAGATCGAGGTAATAAATTTTTGGTCATCCATCCTTGGACCGGATAATTTGAAGTTGCTTAACATCCTTATCACAGACCGAGCGCGCTAGCCACTTCACCATCGAGCAAGTAAATACTACCTTACATATAAAAACAAAATAGCGTTAAATTGGAAGTTTTTTAATTTAGTTTATTTAAATGAAAGTACCATATCAATAAATATTAAATAGTGTAAGTATTGAGTTAAATTCTATTTGTCAGCGCTTTAACAGACAGGTATCCAAGCTTTGTCTATTACAAAGCGTCACCGGATAATTGTTTCCATCCGAAAGGTAATATTTGACGTTACTGTAAGGATAGACGTCTATAGTAAAGGAGGGAGATACCCATAGAATATTAAAAGGCAGTAGAAAGACCTAAATGGGCGGCTAGTACATTCATAAATTGAATATATTGGTTAAAAGTCAAAAATCTCGACCAATACATAGGTACTATTTAATTATTGTAACGGTATTATAAATAAAAAAGAGAGAGACTCCAAGAGTTCCTTGAACAAACGTATTAAGAAGATGTTCACTGATAAAGCATTATCATCTTTGTAGAAGTTGAAACAAGATCGAAAATTAGTTATCAGAAAATCATTAATCCGAGCGCAGACTGACAAACGAGTGCACTCCATACTGCATTTTACTGGAATGTGCCGGCTCTAAGAGCGCTGCGCAACTGATGTAAAATGCGTATACTCAATGAATTAACACATAATCGGTGAAATGTGCAAGATTTAATATAATAACATACATTTCTTTATTTTGATATTATTACGCATATTTCAGTCAGTACAGCAGCACGTAAGATCAAAAAACACATTTCATAATCGATCATTGATTTATCTTCAATAGTAAAGACTCAATTTGTTTGTGTAAATTTTAAACGTGATGTTGATTTAGGTATAAATAGTGGATGATTGATAGGTATTAGCTGCATTTACGTCGAGCAATTCAAGGTAACACAGCGCGCACCAAATCGCACGCGGCAGTAAGGCGCTCTACAGGAGAGGTCGGTGTGGGTGTTGTATGAAATACTAGCTTTCTGCCCGCGGCTTCACCCGCGTGGTCCCCTAGGAAACTGTTTATTTGGATATCGATTCATATCATAACACGGATATAATTACAATGCCCAATTGAACAGTAAAGCATGGTTACTATGGTAATGTTTTAATTCCCTATAAAATCTTCCACTCGTCCCTTTATTTACGTGAATTGCTGTTTTTCGGGATAAAATACAGCTTATTTTCACAGCATTTGATGAAGCTCGTAAAAGGTAAAAGAATATTTAAAGGCCCAGCAGTTTTTTAACCTATTATTTGATGCAAACAAACAAACTATCAAATCGCTCCTCTTTATAATATGAGTAAAGAAAAGTTGGAGTGTGTTTTATTTTCCGACCTGTATTAGATCGTTTGGTGTAAATCAGTTTTTTCTAAATTTCTTTCTAAGTCTGTGGCAGTATTAAATACAGCACCGTCTGGCGAGACGTGATTTTTTAAAAAGGGTTTCGATTATGGTTTGATTGAAAATATTTACTGATTGAAGAGCTTTATACAAAAGCTTTGCGATGAAGCGGAAATTATTTTAGCTGTTTAGATTAAACAGGTCTTGCCGTGACAACCGGAAACTTTTGGAGCTTCTTGATGAACAGGGAAATGATATTTTGAATATAAATAATACCAAAAGCCCACGTAAAATCACTTACTGCGCACAATCAGTTTGACTGAATTTAAATCGAAAATTTTCTGTTTTTTTTTTATAACGATAATAATAATTATTATGAATGATAATTAACCACTCGATTGTGTGATTTTAGTTAATTTTTTTTTTTATTTAGATAAGTTATAATTAAATGTATTAATATATGTTATGTGGCAGTACGAAATAAATAAATAAATCATATCATCAATGATTTTAGAAAAGCAACAAAAGAGTATTACTGGGATTTCTAGATGACATTTGGATATATTATTTATCTTGCTCTTAGCTTGCTCAATAAGGTAATCTTAAATCAAGACCAACTTTTAGATTCTGGAGTGTATTATTAGATTTCATATACCAATATAATTTGATATCTATACTAATATTGTATAGAGGAAAAATTTGATTTTGTTAACCTCATCATCATCAGCCCTTTAACGTCCCTACAGCAGGGGCTCAGGCCTTCGCTCCACGCTGGCCCAATGCGGATTAGAGGGTATTAACGACTGCAAATGCAGCCGGGACCAACGGCTTAACGTGCCTTCCGAAGCACGAATTAGATCGAGATAATAATTTTTTTTGGTCACCCATCCCGTGACCTTGCGAAAGTTGCTTAACAACAACGATCGCGGGCCGCGGCGCTTATTCTCTACGCCACCAAGCTACTTGTTAACCTATTGCACCGAATCTACTGGCACGATTTTAAAAATTCCTTCACCTACAGGAAGCTTCATCATATGCGTGAATATATGGTGAACATAAGTTATCCCGTAACAGTAAATGAACGGATGAAAATGGGAGTGAAAGTTTGTTTATAGAATTTAAACTTTGCCATAGTAATAGTTGTTTAGTATTCAATTCGTCATTGTAATTACATTCGTGTCATATCAATCGATATCCAAATACACAATACTTAGGGGCCACGCGGTGAAGCCGCTAGATGAAAGCTAGTTCGAAATATAATAATTGCATTTCTTCGAGCAATTTATAATATGAAGTTATGCTATATCGGGAATAACGGCTGCCTCGATATTAAGTTTTTTAATTGATCCAATAATTTATTAAAACATTCAGTTCACATTCTAAAGATGAAATAGATTAACTTACCTTAATAAGCTTATTCTGCAGTTTAGTGACGACCAAACGTTCACGTTGTGTCTTCCTCTTCTCTTCTTCCAGCTGTGCTTCAAGCTGTTTAATCCTCTTCTCGAGTAATTCCTGTAACAATAAAAAATATACCTATTATTGTTTTATATTAAAATGATTTCCTTTTTTTTAAGTCATACAAAAAAATATTTTTATTACGTCAAAAACGACCACCAAACTGATTAAGGTTTGAATCTAAATTTTACTATAGTATGCTTATACCTAAGCCACTATAGGTATAAGCATACTATAGTAATAATAATATTTCATATATTTTTTTATCCGTGTACTAAAAAAATCAAAGTATTTAGTAATCAAAAGTTATTTAAAGGATTCTTTCTGTCCATTTTAACCAATTTGAACCTTTGGTAGATTGTTAGACTGTTTGTTATGTTAGGCTTCAGAAACTTGGCAATTAGTATAGAATATGAGAAAAGACATTAATAGCCTCAATGACTGTTTGTGGGACTGTTTGAGATATTGTGTGGGAAATACCACCATCGCGCAGTTCTACAATACTACTGAAAACCATAAAAAAACTTTAAAAAAATACATTTGTTAAAGTATAAAATCGAAATGAACCATTAAAAATACTTTCGCGCCAAAGGACGGCCATTAGGCGACGCCATTTTGTTTTTAATTATTTCTTTTCCGAAGTCGGCTGCGGTCGTAACTCTTAACATTTTTCTTGATTTCGTCTAATTTAATGATGCGTTTTTAATGAGTAAAGTCTTTTTGCCTAAAATATTGAATAAATCTCCTTTTTTGTGCTCTGCTTTGAATAAATTAGGAACATAATATCCTAGATAGTATTTAAAGGAATCTATTGAAGAGGCAGTGCACAGCTTATAAATTATTGCAATTGAATTTAATAACCCCTTGTAAACGAATCTTAACCTAATTTTAAACTTATGATTGCGAAAAATCTCTTTACACTTTCACGGTAAAACTCCGACTAGGCCTGAGTGAGTGGAATAAGTGTAATAAAGATAGCTTGGACCCAGAGGAAGGATTATACTACTTTCCAAAATGTACTTTATAATATTATATAATTAATAATAACTATTAGATAATAACATTGCTTTAAAAACGTTGGTTAGATATGTGTTACCGAACTAGAATCAATAAATAAATAAATAACAGTATTTTTTGATGAAATGGAATTAATAGTCTACAATACTGTGGGGAGGTGTTAATAAAAAAAGATTCTCAACGACTTATCTTCATTATTTTAAATGTCATAAACGATTTCGAACACTTTTATCAACATATTAAGGCTGCTTTTTATTATAAGTACTTATAAGTTTACAACGTTTTCAGATTAGCCTAGGAAGTTACTTTCGTCATTCGCAAAATTACACTCAATAACCGGTACACATACCTAGATCTTCGGTTTTGTTATAATTTTTATGAGCGTTGTTCCAGTGTTTTTTCCTTTTTTGTTGGCACCAGCACCGGGTGGTAGTTGGTGGTTGATGCGAGATTTGTTACCAAGTGATGTGAATATCAATTTGTTTTAACTTGGGCGAGTGGCATACAACAGGTCTTATAGATACTAATAGATGTGGAAGTTACTAGATATCATAATTTCACAAGTTTAACAAATGGATTTCAGAAAATAACGCTTGATTCTTCAAAATAATATTATGTATGAAAACACGAACTCAGGAAAGGCGACACCTTGAAACTGGGGTGCTGCAGTAATTTTCAGCTACTCGGTCTCGGTATTCAAATAAATAAATAATAAGACACACAAAGAGTTTGGACTTTCAGTAATAAAACCTTTTTACTACCAACGTCAGCGATCTCAAGAGCCTTCATCAAACACTTATAAAAAGGGCCAAAGATCTTTCCGGCGCCATTTAAACTCTATAAAGAATCTCCCATTTAACTTGTCTAAAGTTAACATCAGGAGGAAATGGCGCGATCGGGCACAAAGCTAACCGGATGTGACGTCGTTTATCCACCGTCATTAGCCGGAAATGCGCCCGGCGCCCTCTTGGGAGGCTTTTACAAATATGCAACATAGCATCACTATATATTACAGCAGAACAATCACTGTCAGTTATAATATAAACCATAATTTCAAATACCTAGATAAGGACCGCTCAATATTTCAACATGTTACTATCAAATCAGTATACTACGCGAAGATGGAAGGATTTCGAAGCTGGTTAAGAACGAGAGACACCTATTACATTTAGTTTGTAATGGCATGTTGTCAGTACGTCTTGTCAGACACCGTAAAAACTTGCAAGCGTGTATCGAAGGAGAAATTATTATATTTTATTAATATTCGTTGAGAAACAAATTATATACAGTGAACCCCCAGTAATCCGGCCCCTGTCTAATCCGGCGCCCCCTGTAATCCGACATGTCCGAATATTTTTTGGTAGATACGTAATGCATGATTGAACAGGTCATAATTTGTGCGCGCCACCATTATTGCGCTCGACGCGTAGGTTTGTTTGTTTATTACGTACATTTGTTTGTACACAATTATTTCCTAATGCAAATTATTATTTTTCACATTACTCACTCGCATCACTTTTACATTATATTAATACGTAAGCTCTATATTATGTTTTTTAATTTACCTACTAGATTCGATATACATAATGAAGTATGATTTGTACTTCAGAGTAATATAGATATATACATAACATATAGATCTTTATCACTGATCTGTAATTAAAAAAAAAACTATAGGGCGTATTTGGCAGTACTCTATAATCCGACAAATTCGATAGTCCGACACTGCCCTGCAAAACGTTTGTCGGATCACCGGGGGTCCACTGTATATTAAAAATCGAAACGCTGTACTAAAATCAAATATACACCCATACGCCGTGTCTTAATAAGATCCGGCAGGAAACCAACAAGATTTTTTTCTGCTTGTTTTATATTAGACAGAGTAGTCGAAGTCTCAAAATAAGTAGATCACATCAAATCACCTTATATTTCGTTAGTTAATTAAAATAATCTATAATAATAATTACACATAAACGATGTCTATATTAATATTATATAGAGGATTGTTTTGTTTGGGTGGGGTGTTGCATAGGCTCCGAAACAACACGGCCGATTTTAAAGAAAGCTACATCATACGCGAGCGACATAAACTACATATAAGTCGAGGGAAATCAATGCTAGTTTTAAATGAAATTTTATAATTAATCTTATTGTATTTCATTATATATCATTTTACTGAAGCTAACAACAAGTATTATGATCTCTTTTTTGCATATTATAAACAGTTTAAGTCGATAAAGGCAAATATTAATTTATTCTCATTGCTTATATATATTTTTACTAGCTTTCGCCAGCGGCTTCGCCCGCGGGGTCCCTAGGGAAATGTTTAGTGGGGTAAAAAGTATCCTATTATCAAAGTCTGCTAATACTCTATATGTATACCAAATATCATCACAATCTGTTCAGTAGTTTCGGCGTGATTGACGTACAAAAATCCAAACAAAGAAACTTTCACATTTATAATATTAATAGGATTATAGATATTATATTCACTTACTATCTTTGCCAGACTATTATTAAAAGAGCAATGTTTTATATTATAGATATATCATAATATTGTAATTCACTCGTTGTCCCATAAATAACATCGGATCGAGCCTACTTCCTCTATAACGGCTCATTTGCAAAAGGCGGCATTTAGAACAATGCATTTAACCAACCCTAAATGCTAGTTTTATAAGTATAAACAAATATCAATCTTATTCACTTGCGATAAAGTCTTCGTTATGAGCATGGAATATTCGTGCGTCATTTGAATGAATAAGAACAAAGAGATGTGGCGACACTTTTGTCATAGATCAGAGACACAGCCAAAGAATAATAAATAAAGTCAACTCATTCAATGTAAAAGATATTTTTAAATACTGGTGTTAATTTTGTTGTAAACTAAACTTAAAAATAATAATAATTTGCGTTTGTCTGAATCGCTATTACGTAATCAAATAAATACCAATTTAAGAAACTTAAGTAATATGCATTGAAGTTGAGGAGGCTCGCTACGTCACAAATATGTAGAGAATGCACGAAGGTGTGACGTCATACGACATTTCAACTCAATGTATCATGTTATAGCCATCATCCCTAGCAATGGAAACTTTAAAGTGTTCGTAAAATTACCAATAGTATACATTTACTAAAATGCGCTTTTTTATTTATTAATTTTTACAATATACTCCACACCTGCTTCTATTTTTTGTAGTACTATAACTTGATGTAAAATATAGATATACAAAAATGTTTATAAATATAGAATTGCACCATCGTGCTGTCAACAGCATTTCAGGTTATACAAAACTAATTTCCCTACGTCACTTTAATACATACATACATTGAGTATAAATGTTAAAATCCATTGCAGAAAGTTGAAATATTTTTATGCTGAGATTCAATAAAAACAAAATTAACTTTCGAAATAACATCCTTACCACATCTTCAAAGATTAACTTATCTATGTCAATTCTTTGGCGCCTTCGTTTTACGCATGCGTTATATAATAGTTATGTGATGTGCAGGGGATGAAATCTCTCGGAATGATCGTCGAATTAATGGCTCAAGATATTGAAAGTTAAAAGATATATATTTTCACTTATTCTTGTCGTTTATCAGAAATCTTCGACTTTTAAACGGATATTAGTAGAACCTTCGTGGTGTCAATTTGACGCTGTTTTTCTATATGAAGTTTTATAATAGAAATCCTGTTACAATTACTTTCTGAAAGCTCTTCAATGGAACATTACTTTGCGTAAAAATATCCAGACACATTTGAGTTGTTTTGAAATATACCTATAGTTAAACTGTCGATTTTTTAGTGTAGCTTGGAGAACCAAATGAAACTTTGTAAAACCGGTTATAATTAGAAGTAATAACCGAGTGGGGGTCTACTTTCAAACCATCTTAATAATTTTTATATGAAATTGGAGTCGGACTTTCGCAAGATTCTATATGATCAAATATAGATATCAACAAATACAAAACACAGCGGATCACCCCCTCAGTAGCCGTCATTAGTTGACCAGACACAAAACAAATCTGCGGACTAT